GTGGCCCCCTGGCACACGTGTCCATGTGCCACACGTGTCCCCGTGTCCCTGCGTCACGCGTGTCCCCATGTCTCTGTGACAGACGTGTCCTCGGGACCCCGTGTCCCTGTGCCACACATGTCCCTGTGCCACATGTGTCCCCGTGGCACATGTGTCCCCATGCCATGCATGTCCCCGTGTCCCTGTGCCACACGTGTCCCTGTGTCCCCATGTCCCCGTGTCCATGTGGCACACATGTTCCTGTGGCCTCCTGTCCCCGTGCCACACGTGTCCCTGTGGCACACGTGTCCCCATGTCCCCATGTCCGTGTGGCACACATGTTCCTGTGGCCTCCTGTCCCTGTGGCACACGTGTCCCCATGTCCCTGCATCCCCATGTCCTTGTGTCCCCGTGGCACACGTGTCCCTGTGCCACACGTGTCCCTGTGGCACGTGTCCCCATGTCACACATGATCCTGTGTCCCTGTGCCACATATGTCTCTGCGTCCCCATGTCCCTGTGGCACACGTGGCACATGTGTCCCTGTGTCCCCATGTCTCTGTGCCATACATGTCCCTGTGGCACATGTGTCCCTGTGTCACACATGTCCCTGTGTCCCCATGTCCCTGTGTCCCCCTGTCCCCATGTCCCTGTGCCACACGTGTCCCAGGGCTGTGTGCGTGTCCCTGTGTCCCTGTATCCTCATGTCCCTGTGTCTCTGTGTCCCCATGTCCCCGTGGCACACATGTTCCCATGGCACATGTATCCCTGTGTCCCCGTGTCCCCATGTCCCAGTGTCCCTATGCCACATGTGTCCCCATGTCCCTATACCACACACGTCCCCATGTCCCTGTGTCACACATGTCCCCATGGCACACGCGTCCCTGTGGCACACATGTCCCTGTGTCCCTGTATCCTCATGTCCCTGTACCACACGTGTCCCTGTGTCCCTGTGGCACACGTCCCCGTGGCACATATTTCCCCATGTCCCTGTGTCCCCTTGTTCCCATATCCCCGTGTCCCCATGTCCCTGTGTCACACTGTCCCTGTGTCCCCGTGTCCCCATGTCCCCGTGTCCTCGCGTCCCTGTGCCACCACCTCTTGAGGTGCCACCACCCCTTGAGATGCCCTCATCCCTTGGGATGCCCCCACCCCTTGGGTTGCTGTGCCAGCCCTCAGGGGCAAGCACGAGCCCCACCTGGGCCCCCACCATGTGCCCACCCCCCTTTTGTTGCCCACCCCCATTTTGTTGCCCACCCCCATTTTGTTGCTCACCCCCCTATTTTTATGCCCACTCCCCATTTTGGTGCCCACTCCCCATTTTGTTGCTCACCCCCCGTTTTGTTGCCCACACCCCCCTGTTTTGGTGCCCACCCCCCCAGATTTCCTCCCTCTTTGCCCCTTCCCCGTCCCCACCGGGCACCTCCCGGGGCAGGGTGGGGGGAGGCCCTGGGGGTCAAAACGTCCCCCCCCGGGGGGCTGAACCCGCTCTCCCCTCTCTCTCTGTGCCCTCCCCGTGCCCCCCACCCGCGGTGGGCAGACGCCAGCCCGGTGCCCTCGGCGTCGGGCACGTACCACGCCGTCATCGGGGGCGTGGTGGCCGTCATCGTCTTCCTCCTGCTCAGCCTCCTCATCGTCCTGGGGCACTACCTGATCCGGCACAAAGGTATATGGGGGGCACGGGGGGCACGAGGGGGGCACGGGGGGGCACGAGGGGGGCACGGGGTTATGATGGCATTTAAGTCAAGAC